GAGAAGTGTTATAACAGTACGAATTTTAACAACATCACAATAGTAGGTACTAGGCTTTAAATCAAATAACAGTTACAAGCCATAATAAAGTTGCGACACTTGGATCAATTTCCTGTGAATCGATCAGGTAGTGATACCTGGGGTTCTGGAGCAATAGCGTGGTCCTCCGACAAGGGTACCAGATGAGCAGCAGGAGAAGTTTGTGGAGTTTTGGATACGGAGGTAGCGGCCTGAGTTTGTAATTCTTGCATGGCTTGAGTGAGTGTAGACACTTGCCTGGTTAGTGTATGTAACATTTCGGCCAAATCTGTGGGCTTCATATAGGCTCTGTTCTTCTGTTACGCCTGTCATGTATTAGAAGTCCAGGTGGCAGGAATCAGCCAAGGTGAAGTACCAAAGGGAAAACTAAATTTGTAGTCGAGGAAAGCCAGGGGTCAGTTCAGGTGGCACGTGTTTAGAAATGATAAAACAGGCAGAGGGTCAGATCCTGGATAGATTAGATAAGGCAGGATAGGCATACTGAATTTAACACCACAGTAAGCACCGTAGAACTTAGCAATGAGGTAGAGTTATATTGCAATTATATAGGGGAGAGGTATCCACCTCTCACATTCTATTGAATGTGGGTACAGGGAGCTCCACTACAAATTGTACTTGTTTTGAAGGGGAAAAACGATCAAAGCAACAAATATTTCACTCTTTGCAAGAATAAAGCTCTCTCATGGGAGAGACTTTGAGCTTTTAAGCTTTACCTTTAATACCAATATCATGCAGTAACAAAAAAAGTTATTTTTAAATAAAAATATATTGTGTATTTACTAAACAAATTTGCGAGAATTTGACAATTAGTTGAGAAAGCAGGTTCAAACTAACATTTAGAAAAATAGTCCAAATTTGAGATGTCTTCCGATTCTAAAATAAGTATACCAGAAAAACATTGTTTAGTAAATAAGTAAATGATATACTATAACATTATATTATTGTGTTGTTAAGGGATTATATGAAACAAGGAATATGTTTTTGTATATTATGTTTTATACATTTAAAAATAAAAATCACACTTTAAGAAAATAAATACAACATTTGGTGAAACTAAAATGTTTAGATCGTGAATGTAGCTAAAACGTAATGCATAACGGTGTTACAAAAGGAAAACAAGGAGTCACACAGTTTAATGAGTACATGTGCCTGCACACTGAGATAAAATTACTCTGCACTGTGTGTTGTTTATAATATTGTTTTTAATATTGTTTTTGTTCACATGTGCTAAACATGTTATATTACATACTCTTGCTTACATTTAGTTTGTTGTCTTGATGATATCAGCATTTTACAGGCACACTTGGGTAGAGTTAGTGCCAAATGTAGATGCTAGGCAGAATCCAAAGGTTACATTGAATGCAGGTTACTTTGAATGCAGACTTTATATGTAATGGAACTCAGTCAGAAATTCTTGGCTTCAGATTTACCTAAACATTCTCAATCTGTTAGCAATCGCACATTGCTGGCTAACTTCTTGAATGTCTCCACAGTGTAAAATAATACAAATGAATGACCAGACTAAGTCCATGGGAGGAACTAGACATAATACATGTGTATAACTGATGGGAAGTATACACACCCAAAGAAAATTTTAACCCATTTCCCTTCAAATATATATATGTATATATATTTATTTTATTATGCCTCTCAAAAATGTCATACATATTGTTATTTTGTTACACAATATCAGGCTATTTAATATTATTTTAGTTTATAAATTTGCAATATCTTGTCCACAGAAATGCTTGTAATTAAACTAATTATATCTTTCTATTCATTTTCAAGATAATACTGCTACAATTTTAACAGGACGAAAGGGATTTAACTATGAAGACAATCCATTATTTTACTTGACAGTTATAATAAGTGACAATGGGACTCCATCGCTTAGTAGCACTAACACACTGACCATCAGTGTGTGTGACTGTGGTGTAAATGGCAATACAGAATCCTGTAAAGCCCAAGGATTTTTATCATCTCTTGGACTCAATGGAGGTGCCTTGATTGCAATTTCAATTGGAGCATTTTTACTTTTAGGTAATTAATAAATTATATTGTGCTGTAAATATCCTTTTGATAAGAATAAATAGCAGAATCCCCTTCACACTTATATTATATATTTTATTTAAAGAAAACGTTTTGCTGTTTGTGTCCTATATAGTTCCAAAATATTTTTCTGTAAACAAAGACTTTACCTTGAAATTAATATCTTAGTTTAGAACTTGACATATATGGTTATCTCGCATTGAAATGCTCCTGGAGCATGAACACATTTTCTTTGTTTTGTTGACCATAACTTAAAGGGAGATTGGCATTTCTCTGGAAATTACACCATTGAATAAAAAATTAAAAATAATTAATAATTATCACATAATATCCAAATCTTCACCCTTTACACACATTGTTTTCCGCTGCATTCAAATTAGGCATGCTACCTTCAGGGTCTTTGCAAAGTACTGGCTGCAAAAAGCCATTGACAACAGAAATAGTCTTTATAGCTGTGCATATAGTTTACAGACATTGTGCCTTGATACATACATCGTATTCAACATTCTACTGGTGTTCTAAAACAGCTGTATTGCTAAAAGGATTCCCTGCTAATGCTCATTCGTATGTTATTTTATAATGATATTTATCTTTTTTTTGTAACACCCACTGTTTGTGGCAAAAAGGGTATTTCTATCTCTAGTCTGTAAACACTGTCTAAAATATTGTAAGATAAGGGATACCCTGTAATGATAATCTCCAAAATCTTTATCCCCATTATAATTTTATACATGACAGATAAGTAAATAAAAAGTTAAAACCGTGTATTTGTGTGATTATGTCATGTGTATATTTTTATTGTATATGTATTTATTGGGATTCATAAACAATAAAAATATGTACATTACACAAATATATATAGTTATTCAATAGTGAACTGTCTGTTCACTGAGCCCCTTAGAGCGATTCACTACCTAAATTGAAGCTTCAGCCTAAATATGCCAACTTCGTTTTATGTTCGGCAACATTGTTACAGTATAACTCTGACACTTTATTTAATCAGTATGAGCCTTCTGTTTCCTGCCTGTCCATGCCTGTGAGCACTTTTGTAACACTGTTTTTAATTTCAATCTTTAATGATTATTCCTCTACACAACTATGGTTGCCATGACAACCACCAAAAGTATGAAATGCCGGTGGGCAGTCCCAAACTACAATAGCACGCTCACGTGCAAATTCTTGCCGTTCTGAATGTGCATGTGGGGGGCTGAGCAATTTGTCTTTATTGTCTAATACACTGCATTTATGCTTTCAAACTTTGCCCTGATGAAAGTTTATTGTATAAACTGAAACTTTGACATTTTATTTTTAAGGTGAAATAAAAGTAAGGTTTTATTTTACCATCTATGAAGTCTCTGGACTGCTATCCCTTTTCGGTACTTTATTTTTGTGGACCAGCATCAGGCATTACAATGATTGGATTCTGAAATGCAGGTCCTGAAATTAGATAGGTAAAGAAATGATAGCTAGATTGACACACAGATCTTAACCACATGGAAAATATATATAACATATCCCCTGGTACTCAAGACAAAGCTTGCATCTACATTTTCATGTAAACTTCATCATGTAATCAATCATGTAAAACTATCCCAACAATATGCAGTTGAATTGGCTCACAAAAGTTTTTCTATATCACAATATTTTTGGGTCAATTTAAGATTGCATAATTGTAATTCATCTACTAATGTTTAAGTGCATTATGTAAATAATCTGCAATTTAATGTTATTTATATGAAATACACAATTTTTATATAAACATCTGGAGAATGTATGCAAGATTTATCTTTGAGCATTGTCTGATTTTGCTTTTTTTTTTCTTTTTTTTACAGTGTTATCTATCTTAATTCTCGTAAAACAGAGAAAAAAAGCATTGTTAGAGAAAGGAGAAGACTTCAAGCAGAACTTTGTCAAGTATGATGATGAAGGAGGAGGAGAAGAGGACACAGAATCATTTGATATTATAGGACTAAGAAACCGAGCAGTGATGCGAGAACCTAAGTTCAACAGGAAGATCAAGAGAGATATTCCTAGTCTTTACAGAATGTCTTTAAGACTTGGTCCAGATGTAGATATATTTAGAGAATTCCTTGTTGAAAAATTAGAAGAGACAAATACAGATGTTAATGCTCTTCCACTTGACACTCTTCACATCTATGCATTTGAAGGGACAGGTTCAATGTCTGGATCACTCAGTTCTATCGATTCAATCTGCTCAGATACTGAACCATGTTATAAAATGCAAGAAATCAGTGGGTAAATATCAGTAATTTTATAATGGCACACAATAAGTCAAAAGTCAGGGACCACCCAATTATTCATTAGACATTGCAACATGGTTAATGTTAATAAATTCATGATGGTAGCCTAGGGGCAGGAAAATCTATGCAATAGGTTTATCCACTGCATTGTATTTTTTACATCATTCAGTAATGAAGTGGTCTATATATAAACATTTTTATTTACATATTAAAAGTATATTGACAACCAAATTACAGTTTTAATTATATTAAATAAAAACATTATGAAGAAAATAGTTATATAATGTTTGATGAAGAATTATATATTAATGGGTCTTACCTCAGTTTTGGTTTATGGCAATACTCACAAGTCAACTGTCAGTTTCATTTTTTACCATAATAATGCATTAAAAAATAACTCAGAATAAATGTTAAAAAAATCTGATTGCTACATAAATTTGTGCACAAGGTATTATATACTTCTATGTTATCCATTTTTTCTGAAATATGTGCTATAAAAACACCACCCACAAACCTATGATGTTGATATGCTTCATGGACTCACTTACATGGTTCACGAAGGTACTATTTGCTTGTGAGTTCATTTCTTAGGTTATTGCACCATTTTTTGCCTATTGCCTATTAGATATTTATTAATCACACATTATCCCTGTAAAAATGAATGAGTTCAAGTTGGAACTATAGTTTTATGAGTTAAAGTCTTTTGCTAGATCTGTCAACAGAGAAACTACAGTTGTTCGCTCAACCAACATTTATTTTTGACAATATTTATTTCTGTTTATTTTGTTTGATAAAACAAAGTTTCACAGTATAGCGTTGAACATATAACAAGAATGTAAACATAGAGGATGGCTGACATGTGACCTTTAGTGAAAATGACTCATGCCCGAAGTAGGAATGCTATTAGTCAACAGGCATCAGCTTCATGTGCTAAGGAGAAGTGTAGGTAGTGAATAACTACATATGGAACCAGAGATTTGATAATCAAGAGACAGTGGGCGATCAATGCCTCCACTAGAGTTACAATAGGTTAACATGTCTATACATAGAGGCCGTTGGTTTTAAAGTCAGTGAGGCATCATCGTGAGTTGTCATGGGATGTTGGGGACAGTCGAGTGGTAACTGCCTAACCTCATCTATCTCTGTGCTCGTTGGTCAGAGGGAGGGGTGAGTTTGAGGTCGGTCGCCTGTCATGGGCAGGCTGAGGGGGGGACTCATCAGAGGCGAGAGAAGGGGAGAAGAACAGAAACCCGGGGTTTGTTCACATGTGAGAGAAAGAGGAGAGGAAGGTAAAAAAAGTGCCTGATCTATTGCTGGCCGTGTACATCAACCATGGGGTCTAGGTTCCAGTGTAGGCATCCAAGCGGCCATGTAGGGCTGTGGTCAGTGATTCTATAAAGTATAGCTCATGCACCCTGTCCACCCATTGCTTCCAGAGCGTGGGTATGATGGATTGTGCTGCCATAAGCAGGTGTTTAGTCAGAGACTTCTTATATGCCTTAAGGGTCATATCTGTGTGGTGTAGGAGCGTTGGTAGAGGTTGGAGAGGTAGGTCAGAGTCTGTGATTTATCTGATCTTTGCGTTCACCATTGTCCAAAAGGAGGTGATAGCCGGGCACATCCACCATATGTGGAACATGGTTCCGCCCTCCGCTCTGTACCTCTAGCAGTTATCTGGGGTATCTGTGTTTATGCGGTGCAGTAAGTCAGGTATTCTGTACCAGTAAGATAGTAGCTTATAGCTTGTTTCTTGGTATTTTGAACTGATTGAGCATTTGTGTGTTAGCATGTAGATTTTATCCCAGTCTTGTTCAGTTAGAGTCTCTCCCATCACGTTTTCCCACTTTGCGATGGACCGTTAGAGTGGACGCTTGTCCTCCCCTAGGAGCATGATATATAGCATAGAGATGTCTTTAGTCGCATGCTGGCGGAATGTGCAAAGCGACTCGAAGTGGGTGAGATACCTGTGTAGGAGACGTTTGTCAGGGCTCGTTGTATAGTAAGTTCTGATTTGGTGATAGCGGTATTTATCCAGGCCTGTCGGAGTGGAGACAGGGAACATAGTGGCCAGTAGGTTGAGTTGAGCACTCGCACCAGAGGTGAATATACCTAATAAATATTTAAGTACTTGTAATTTTACCATTTAAACTGAGTTGTTAACTCTTCATCTGGGTAACCTCATGTGTTTTTGAGAGTTGATATCTGAGGTGTTTTTAACATTTGGGTTCTACTCTTGAAAAACTGTTTTAGTTATTCTCTTGACTAGTTAAATTAATTAATAGTAACAAAAAAAAAAACAGTCAAAGAAATCTATAATCCCTATAGTATTTGTAGGAAAAAAAGCCAGCAGTTACAGGCTATAGACACTAGAACAACTAAATAGACACTAGAACAACTAAAATAAGCTGTAGTTGTTCTGGTGACTATAGTGTCCCTTTAAATGACACATGCTACATCATGCTTTCATCTGGATTTATCACACTAGTCTTTTAAGAAGTGCGATTATATGTATTATATGTTTCCATGAATAATCATTATTAGAGTTATGTAGGATTTTAAGATCAAAAAGAGAAAAATAATTACATTGGTAGTTTTTCTCTCCTATTACAGAATAGCAAACATTCTCTACTATCAATTGAGGAATTAATGATACAATAAATGTCAAAAATGGATTGAGCAATAGTTTTTATACATGCACATATACTTAAACAGTATAAATAGCATTATTAGAAAAAGAGTCCAGGCACTCTAATGTCTTCAGGCACCTTTATTGGAACATGTGGAATACTGCAACATTTTGACTCCCAATAGTATGTTTGTCAAGCTACTTAACACCAGAACTTACAAACATTTATGAGAAAAAACATAGTGAAAGTGCAAAATCACAATCAACCAATTAAATAATCAATAGTTAATTAATTCACTCTAATACAATTCTTGATTGATAAGCAAGAAATTATTTGATACTCACCATCCATCAGAACCACATATAAAGCTGGTCTTATAGACTATAAACAATATTTTTATTGAACTAGATGTGGTTCCGATAGATGGTGAGTCCCAATTCATTTATCGTATATTAAGCCATAATTTAATTAGAGTTAATTAAATCAATTAACTAATGATTATTTTATTGGTTGCTTGTGATTTTGCACTTTTACTATGTGTAGACTATAAACAAGATTAATTATAGTCTATAAAGACCAGCTATATATGTGGTAAAAAAAATAGTAACATGAAGAAAATTAACTTTTTGCTGAAAGAAATATAAAAAAATCAATTGTTCCATATACCATGCTTCAAACAGTAAAGCAATCCAAGAAGACTTGCTGAGTAGGTAGTCAAAAACATGAATATTTAAATGTATACCAATCTCTATATTACGTCAACATTGCATTGATACTCAAACTTTATGATACTCAATGACAAATTAATATAAAATATCACTGTTAAATATATACATAATTTATATTATGTACTGTAATATGAACAAAAAAACATAGACACAGTGGGATCTATTCAAATATTTAAAAATCCCTTGTAATCCAGAGAAGAATTGTGTCTATGAAAATTTTTTTTTTTCTAGTAACGATGAGGATTCAATGTAGCGGGTCAAGCTGTTTCAGTCACTCTTCTTTATAACAGAAAATTGAAGTCAGTATAATTTAGTAAATGGCATCCCCAGTATCCCCATACTCTGCATCTATACAGCTTCCAGATGCTAGTTTTAAAAGAGCTAGTTATTGCTTTTCTATTTTAATCAACTTTATATATTTCACTAGTTCAGTGAATATTCATCAGTGTTCAATAGTAACCTTCTTAAACTTATAAGTTGAATGTTTTAGAAAGATGAGATGGTACAATAAAAGTCCAATTACATTTATTCAAGATTGTACACAAAGGAAATATTTAGTTTGTGGGTTTTTTTGTTACAAAAGAATATGAGGTAATTAGTAAATTTTTTATGTTGTTTTATTAAAAAGTATTTTTGATACAGCAGTATCTCTAAATTATTATAATGTGTTAAATGTAGGTGTAAGCAAAGTTTTTTTTCTTTTTCTTCTCTATCATTAATGTGATATATGAGGTAATGCCATATGTTCACAAAGATTTTACATGCAAATATATAATTATTCTGTTACATGTCTCAATTGTATATCATTTTGATGAATTGTATAATTACAATTATAATTCAAACATGAACTATTCAATATAATTTCCTGTTAAAAAAGTACATATTTTTTTTAAATTGTAGTAGACTTGGAGATTTCTTTTCCTTATGAACTGTAATTCATCCAAACTTGAGCCAATCTGGTGTTTGTCAAAATTCCCAATTTTTGAACCACCATGAAGACTAGTCACAAAACAAATGGCTCAGATAATGGACAAGCATGTTTTTTGATTGGTGATTTGGAGTTTTGCCTGTGGGACCAAAAAAAAAAAATGATTGATGGGAAAAAAGACTGATAGCTAGGCGGTTATCATTCACAGATCAAGTAAGGAGGAAAAAAGGAGCAGTAAAATACCAGGGACTGAAAGAAGAGTTAGAAAGGCAGTAGTAGTAGTGTGATAGGAACACATTTGGGGCTGTGACTCCCAAGTTGGGGGCCTTTTTTCAACAGATTCCAGGTACAACATCTAAGATCACTGTCCAGAAGACTGCAGTTCTCCCTGGTGAAAGACCCAAGAATAAGGAATAAATTATTTCATTTTCATTTTTTTTTTACATACAATCATGTGAAAAATAAATACACCCTATTTGAATTCTATGGTTTTACATATCAGGACATAATAACAATCATCTGTTTCATAGCTGGTCTTACAATTAGGCAAACACAACCTCAGTTAAACAACAACAGATGACATATTATGTCATGGCATGATTTATTTAACAAAAATGAAGCCAAAATGATTTCTCCCCAAGGTCAGTCAGAGGAATTGTGTGTATAATTTAACAAATATAACAATAATACTGTAATTCATAACAGTCCAGCAGAAATACTAGATAATTTGCAATCCCTGTAAATTTCCAAAACCCAATAAAAACACAAATATGAGAGTTTTAGAGCACTAAAACTGTAAACAATAAAAACAGTAAAACATTTTTACTATGCTAAAAAACTCACATTTCAATTCAGTGATATCTCACAAATTAAGATCTCATCAGTGAAAGTGCAGTTTTTGGCCAGGGTTTGTGACTAACTGGCAAGTAGAAAAGACTGGGCATATCCTATTTTGAATACTCTGGGTTGTCTACATTTGCAAATGGTTTGGGGGTAATTCTCATTCCTGGGCTGCCATACAGACTAAAAGGTAACATATGCCAAGCCAATCGTTCTCTCAAATTTCAATATGCAAAAACTGAAATAGGAAAGCTCTTCATGTGATAGTTATGCAATCATTTATATGATCCATGTTGTACCTCATGCCATACACACATAAATTAAAACAAAATAATAAGGCAGATGTGGTTCCTACATTCAAAAAGGGTACAAAATCCTTGCCTGGAAATTGTAGACCTGTAAGTTTAACGTCTGTGGCTGGGAAAATATTTGAAAGGTTATTAAGGGATAGTATTCAAGAATTCCTGGAGAAGAACATGGTAATCAGGAAAAATCAGCATGGTTTTATGAAGCACAGGTCATGTGAAACAAACTTGGTTGCATTCTACGAAGAAGTAAGTAGAAGTATAGATCAGGGTGTTGCAGTTGATGTGATCTATTTGGATTTTGCCAAGGCATTTGATACAGTTCCACACAATAGATTAGTGTTCAAACTCAAGGAAATCGGTCTAGATGAAAATGCTTGTTCTTCGGTAGAACATTGGCTTAAAAATAGAGTACAGTTGTCATTAATGGAAAATTTTCAAGCTGGACAGAGGTGGCAAGTGGTGTCCCTCAGGGTTCTGTTCTGGGACCAAGTCTATTTAACATCTTTATAAATGATCTTGGAAAAAAGCATTGAAAGTCATGTTTCAGTGTTTGCAGATGACACAAAACTCTGTAAAGTAATACAATGCAAGCAAGATATTACTTTGCTGTAGAGGGATTTAGATAGACTGGGGGACTGGGCACTCAAATGGCAGATTAAATGTAATGTTGAAAAATGTTGCACTTTGACGTAAAGAATGCACAAGCAACGTATACCCTTAATGGAAGCAAATTAGGGATAACAACACACGAAAAAGACTTGGGAATTGTTATAGACAACAAACTATGCAACAATGTGCAATGTCAATCAGCAGGGGCCAAGGCCAGTAAGGTATTGTCATGCATGAAAAAGGGCATACATTCTCAGGATGAGAATATCATTTTGCCTCTTTATAAATCACTGGTAAGACCACATTTTGAATATGTTGTGCAATTTTGGGCACCTGTTCTAAAGAAGGATATTACGGCACTAGAAAAAGTGCAGAGGCGGGCTACAAAATTAATTAAAGGAATGGAATATATCAGCTATGAAGACAGGTTAACAAATTTAAACCTCTTTAGTTTAGAAAAACGTCGCCTGAGAGGGGCTATTATAACATTATACAAATACATTCGGGGCCAATACAAACCATTGTGTGGAAAACTATTCACAAACCGGACTTTACATAGGACACAAGGTCATGTGTTTAGACTGGAAGAAAGAAGATTTTGTCTAAGGCAAAGGAAAGGTTTTTTTACTGTAAGAACAATAAGGATGTGGAATTCTCAGCCTTAAGAAGTGGTTTTCTCAGACTCCATACATATGTTCAAACAGCAACTAGATGCATACTTGCAAAAACAGAATATTCAATATCTAATTTTTCAATGTAGGGTAATAGCTGCTTGATCCAAGGATAAATCTGACTGCCATTCTGGGGTCAAGAAGGATTTTTTTTCCTAGTTTGTTGCAAAATTGGAAGTGCTTCAAACTGAGTTTTTTGCCTTCTTTTGGATCAACAGCAAAAAACAAATGTGAGGAAGGCTGAACTTGTTGGACGCAAGTCTCTTTTCAGCTATGTAACTATATGTAATAATCATAATATGTAAATGTTTTCACTTGTGACCACAGGTTTTCCATGTAGCAAAGGGTAGGTGTTTGCTCTGATATGTAACTGATCAGGAAGTGAATATATAGAACGATGACTGCCTGTGTTACAATGTTTTCTGTTTACTTCTATCTCTCAGTTATGTACCTCTGTGTAAGGGACATTATGCGATAGATGCATGCCTCACAGGGCACCCTGAATTCATTTAGCCAATCCTTGCAGTATATGAGAATTAGGTCAACTCAAGTCAAATCACTGAGTCATCCCGGGCTAATCTATTAGGAGCCTTTCTTGGTCTTTGTAAAGTGTAATTACTTATGTTTAGTGGAGGTCCCCTTGATATCATGTGTTTTTGTTGGCTGCTTATTTCTGAAAATGAGGTGGACTATGAGTCCAATGCAAGTATAGGAAGTTATTAGAAGAGTCTATAAGTACAGCAGAGCTAAGTAAATATAAAAACAACACAAATATGACATATATGATAGATACATGCGAATAAACACCAAGTTCATACAGACTCTTTTTAATATATTAAAGAAAAATAGATGTGATAGTAGCCTGCTAGATAACTTAGCATGGAGGAAAAAACATTGATAAACAGGCAGGGTTGTAATTCAGGATGCATATAACCAGCAAGGATATACAGGCATGACTGGGCTAGTTACAACTAAGAGTGGACATCTTTTCAGTTAACTGCAAAACAAACTTATATACAGGCAAAAATAAAGACAAGGCATAATAAAATAAAATAGTGCATCCAACTTCCGTAACTGTAATGAGGGTGGTTCTTAAGGCCTATGGCAAGCAAATTGTGAACAATTAAATAAAAAAAAGTGTACAGCATAGCTTAAGAACAGTTCACTAATCTGGTGAGGACCTAAAGGTGGTTCCAGGCTTGTTACAGGGTCACTCAATTCCCTTAATGAGGCAGAGCCTTAAAGTATTCCCCGATAAGTGAGTGCATGGTAGTCAGGCATTTGACACTTGCTCCACGCACACTTCCTGTTCAGCCCCAGGCTGTTATTGAAGCCTGTATCAAAGTGCCACTGACCCAGCTAAAGTCCCTATGGCAAGAGTGATGGATCTCCTGGGTGTGTGGGCAGTATTCAAGTGTATCTACATGGATGGCTTCAGGTCCGTATTGGGGTCACCAACCAAAGCCTCAGCCAGGATGATCAGCTGGCCAGCAGGTACCGGAGGACTGCATTGTCGGGCCTCAATTTTTTCACAGAACCTAAAGCAGAGGGTGCCAAAGGCTTCTATGAAGGATAGCTGGCAGCTCCCTACCATGAGGCATTCTCAGAAGTGCCCATAATGGAGCCTCTTCTGTGATCCAGCCTATAATCAATGCAGTGGCAAGGTGGAGCTGGCAAGCAAGCAGCCCTTGGTGGGAACCAGGATAACCCCCACTGGCCCTATTATTTGCAGGATGAGCCCGTTAAGGCAAGGTCCTGGAGACCAGCCACTTTTCCTGCCTAAACCAATATCTAGGTTGCAGGTCACAAACCCTGGTTGGCAGAATCAACAGGGAGCATGGATGTCCTACTTACATAAGGAGATGCCAAAAAGACACCCAAAGCAGACTTGCATTTACTTCTTCCAGAATTAGGCTTGAATCTGTGATTTAGGGACTGTTAAATATGAAGCACCAAGATGCTGAAACAGGCTGCATCTGTTCAGCTTGAAGGTCAGGTCTCACCCCCTCCCCTACTGCCCCTCCACCCCCCATTAAAGTTTGGTTTATGGGTAGTGTTAGTGGTTGTATTAAGGGTTGGGTTAGGGAAAAGGTTAGGGGTAAGTTAGGGGCTGAGTAACAGGAAAAATATACATGTGTGGGGTCATTATACTTGAGAACAGTAGCAGAATACAAATATGAGGTGTTTACAGTGGGACACGTGTGGTCTTTGAATTTCCCCAAAATAAAACAGGTGTATAAAAATGCAAAAAATATATATTTTGACTGAGGTTCATGATAAAATTGTTTAATTAAAAGTGCCAAAATGCTCTTAGTTAAATAGCCTGGGG